ACCCAAGGGACAGATACCCAAGGGACAGATACCCAAGGGACAGATACGAGCCTGCCGACTTCTCAGCTACTCTGGTGCTGCCTTCCTGGGTTTCCCAAACTTTCCCTCTATCCTTCTTTGGAATCAAGCTTACTCTTCCTTACACGGATTCTTCCCCTTGGCCAGGTCACACAACCCGGAAGACCTAGATGTAGAGCATTTCCAGGGGATCAGAGCACCCAGGACGTGCCATGGCATCCCCAGAACTCCTGGGTGGATCCCCCACACCTGAGCTCTCCCGCCCACCTGCATCCAGATGATCCTCTCAGAAAAGGGAAAGGTTGCTCTGAACCAGAAAGGAGGAGTGGTGGGGGAAGGAAAGGCTACTGCAGAGGAGAATAAAAGGGGAAGAAAATGTATGGTATAACAAGAAATCGAACATGGGCTGGAGAGATGGCTCAGGGGTTAAAAACACCGACTGGTCTTTCAGAGGTCCTGAGTTCAAGTTCCAGCAACCACATGATGGATCACATCATGAGATCTGGTGCCCTCTTCTGGCAGGAATGCATACAGGAACACCACATACAAATAAATAAATAAATAAATCTTTGAAAGAAAGAAAGAAAGAAAGAAAGAAAGAAAGAAATTGATCATAAAATAAATACTAAGAAAAAAGCCCAGAGTGCTGGTCTCCTTGTCTACCTGGTGGGGAATCCCAAGTGCCGGGGGAGGTTACTTTAATGAAATCAGAACACCCTGCTCAGGACCTGGAAGGCAGTGGGAATTCAATACCTACTTGTCTCCTCCCGGCTCCTAACACAGAAGTGCCTGGTCTACTCAGTTGTGAAGCAGGCATTACAGGTTCTTGGCTCTGCTGTCTTGAGGAGAGAGGGCTGAGGACTTGGAATCGCGCTCAGATTGCCCTGCCTTGAGGCCCTGTTATGAGGACAACAAACAGAACCCTTGGAAAACCCAATTCAGGGCCATTTACATTTCATGGAGAGTACTGGAAGCCTTCCCATATGGCCTGGCTTTGCTGCAGTTTCCACCAAGGCTGGTCTGAAGCTCAGAGTGAAAGGCGTCCCTTGGCCAAGTTTCCATTTGGCCCCGTAGTCTCCTTTGTTTTGACTTAGACAGGAGGGAAGCCAGCCCCCTTCGCTGGCACAAGGGCCCTGTCAATTCACCAGCTCTGGGGAGGGGCTGCGGTCTTCTCTTCAGGGGTGACTAGTAGCTTCGCGCTAACATCTCAGGAGAAGAAGGAGGGGGACATGGGAACAGACTGAAGGCTGGATGGCTGTCAGAATTAACGCCAGGGGGTTGTCTCAGCGTGTTCACACCCCACACCCTCCTTTCTTCTTCCTTCCTCTTCTATACTCTCACTTCAGGAAGAGCCTCTCAGACCTTAAGACTTTTTCAGCCGAAGCAGGCAAATAACGTCTCCTTCCCTCTACCCGCCTCTGGCCCCCGCTCCTGTGTCTTCGGGGCCCTGCGAGGGCTGTGTGGAGGGGAGATCCCCATGCCCGTCCACTCAGCTTTCCTGCTCCACAGTCCGGCGCTGGCACCTCTACAGCCCCAGCTCCTGATTTCTCTTCCTGTGCTTCGTGTCCTTTCTTGAATGAGACTCATTTGTTCTTCCTTCTGATGAGTGATTCCCCCTCAGCCAGGAATTCCCCTCCTGCTCCAGGAACCCAAGCACAGATGAACACAGGCAACCTCTGACCCAGGTCCCAGCAGCCTCTGGGACGTCTTTGACTTCTAGGCTGCCATGGAAACCAGGAATCCTTCCCTTGAGCATCCAACAGATGCATTCCCTAAAATCGCCATAAGGGGGCGCCCTTTTTTTGCTTCAGTGCTATGCCCCATGTCTTCCCTTACTTCTGTGTCCCCAAGCTACTTCCTGTTGCAGGGGAAGGGGGGTTTCAGGAGGGGAGAGGGTATGAGAGTCAGTGTAGGGTGGGGAAGGTAGCCAGGGAGGGAGGAGCTCAATCTGCTCTCATAAACCGAGTCATGGGCTCCCTGATCTCCTATCTTCCCATAATCCATTTATCAGCATGTCTTCAGCCATTTCTTCAGTCTGGCCTGGGCTCTGAACCTATTTGTCAGCTGTGTGACCTGGTGTATTAGTCAGGGTTCCACCACAGAGGTAAAATTCCTCACGTGATCACACATTTTAAGTGGGTAGCTAATTTTGGCTTATGGATTCGGAAGTTTCAATGCATGATTGGTTAGCTCATTGCTGTGAGCAAGGCAGCGCCCTGTGGCAGAAGCATGTAGTGGGGGGTGAGTCTCACTCTACAACATCCAGGAAATGAAGGGGTGGGGTCCCAGTAACCTTAGCCAGAGCATAGCCCCTCCGTGGCTAACTTTCTCACATTGTTCAACTTCCGAAAGGTTCCATTATGTCCTCCCACCAAGTAGGCTGGGGCCCTAGTACTGTCTGATTGTTGGTGTGTTCATCCCATGATGAAAACAGACATATTTTATTTTATTTTTTTAAAATTTTTATTCATTCATTCATTTTTTTTTTTTTTTTTTTGAGACAGGGTTTCTCTGTAGCTTTGGAGCCTGTCCTGGAACTAGCTCTTGTAGACCAGGCTGGCCTCGAACTCAGAGAGATCCACCTGCCTCTGCCTTCCAAGTGCTGGGATTAAAGGCATGCACCACCAATGCCCGGCTCGAAACAGACATATCTTTCTCCTTCTGCATTGGCAGTCATACATCTCCAGGGTAGGGTGAGAGAGTCCCACACCCTCCTAGTAAGTACACTTGCTACAGTTCACATGCCGCTAGTTCCTTAGAAAAGAGGAGGTCAGGCACTCCCTCTAAGACCTGGGTCCGCAGAGGTACTTCCTGCTGTCAGGGCCAGCAGTCTTGCCACAGTTGAACCATAAGCCTGAC